TGGTGCTTTTTTATCTTCGAGTCTAGGGTAACGTTACTTGTAGTGTTTACGGCGAGTCTACTCCATCACAGTGAGAAAAGGATCTCTAATAAGGAGCATTTGTTTCTTCCTCATCGTGACATTTCATCTGAACAGTCACTCTGTGAAGTTTCTGATCGCGCTGTCAGTCGGTAGATTTATTGGATCATAGTTTCACAGGGTTAGGTCCTTTATATTTGAAGGGCAGAGTCAGATCGCCTTCATCACTAGAGCTTAGAGCAGGTGTAGGTGAGCGCGCCTGAAGGAAAGCAGCTATAAAAAGACAAGTGACATTTCAGCCAAGTGCATCACTTCCACCACAGTCGATACCAAATGCTGGCACTGCTCTGTCTGACTGGAAGGCTTCCTGTGGGACGCCGATCCACAAACACTGTTCGTTTTCTTTGTGTTGAATGTAAACAGACTCCAAAAGCCTTTGTGTGTCACTTAAATCTCCTGCTCTTATTTTTTAACTCATGCAGTCTCATTGCCACTGGCATGGTTGGAAACCAACAAGCATGTTGACCCAAAATACTCTGAGCCAGATTGGTATCACTGCCTTTTTTACTGACATCGGCTGCATTCATGTCTAAGGTACTGTGACTGTGCTTTTTGTGCATTGTAACATGGCTTTAAGCGTAAGGGCGTATTAACACACGCCTGTATGAATAGACCATCTATTACGAGTGGGATGTTTGGGATGTTTGGGGTGTTTGTGCGACGTAAAGCTGCTAGATGAGCCTTTGGAGTCAAGCCATTGAACCCTGTCATCCTAAAAATGACCAAAGGTCTGATTCAGATTCCCATGATGCTAATGAAAGCTAAATGAGTGACTTCTGTTGTTGTTTTTGAAATTGTTCCCTGCAATCCACAAATGCTGACGGTAACGTTCGGCCAAAACGAGCTGAAGCTTTGGGGATTTTTCTGGTAATCATAAAAATGAAAACAACACAGGAAGTTTGCGCCTTTTTCTACAAATTAACTGTGTAGAAACTTTTGGTTCATACGTCATGTTTTAGGTTTTACTGACTGAGCTGATGTATTTGGATCATTCCTGTAAAGCAGCTGTGTTTAACAGCCGCCACTCCACTCGCTTACTTTGTTTATATTTATTTCAAGTGCCATTGTGGTTCCACTTCGTTGTCTACACTATGCAAACTATGTATTTATTATGTAGTATTATTCACATAGGGCAGCAGAATGTGTAAAAAGTTGATTTGACTTCTGTTGCAATTATAATCGTGTACAGTGTAATTTTATTTCCATAGAAAGTCTTACAAGAACCTCAGATGCAGCTTTTTTTATGTTTCAAAGGTCCGAACGTCTTACAGTATTTATTTCGAGGCAGTTTCACTTTGAAACCTTTTTTTTCCTTCATTTTAGACTTTCCTTGCCAAAAACTTGAAGTGTAGTTTTTCTTTTGCAGTGGAAAGATAGATGATGTTATGATGCAAAAACCAATGGGAACGGCACTGTGCCTTTGCTGACAGAGTACATCATGTATGTACAGTTTGCTGTATAGTGTAATTGTGTGAGTGCGTGTGCGCGTGTAAGGCTGGGATTGATTACCAACGCCGACGTCCTGTCACGCCTTTCTAGGATGTGTATATCTTTGATCGTGGTCTGAGTGGGAGGTTCGGTGTGACTGTCGTGTCTGCGACACGGTGATGTAAAAGTGGTGCATTTTGCTTCTGTTCAGGTATGTTTAAGGAGCATTTTACACACAGATGTTTGAACCATACTTTATCAAGCTTACTTGATAACATGTCTCGAGTTGAAAAGGATATTTTAGTCACTGGTGACATTTCTGTTGTGTCGATCCTTCACCTGAACTGTATCATGTACATAATGAAGTTGAAATAAAACAAATGAACAGAGCCTGTCTGAGTCCTGCTGGTGCAACAGAGAACGTTTCAGTGTATCTCAGGTAGGGCTGCCACAAACGATTATTTTGATAGTCGACTAGTCACCGATTAGTCGACTAACCAGATCATCATCCATTGGACTTAAAACGTGCAGCATCTGCTCTTATATAACTATCATTAGCTTACAGCTTTAAGTGTTTAAGGTATGTGCTAACTAAAAATAAAGACAAGATGATAGTTTATTAAATTTTAATGAAATTTGCAGATTGTTTCGGTGAAGTTTAATAAACTCCTTGCGATCTAAAATATAACAGGACACCGGAGTAAATTCTCCAGCATCTCACACTTCTGATAATCAGCTGTCTGCTTGACGTTTATTCAGCTGTGTAAAAACTATAACTTTAATCTCAGCCAAACCGATTTACTCAGGAACAAATAAAATACTAAAAAAAAAGCCAAACAATAACATTTTTAAGTTATCTAAGTGACTTATATATCATGTTTAACCTGAGTAGCGAAAGACGCCGGTGGGTTTGAAAACGATTTGCCGGGAGTCCGGTGTTCTCACGGCGCTAGTTAGCCTAGCCCCCGGCTAGCTATCGAGCTAGTGGGTAACAGACGTCTCCGAAAACGTCGGAGCGCTTTTGAAAATATGTGGTGTCTTGATAAACTGAGCAGATATTTGAGGTTTACACAGCTACATTCTCGCCTGAAAATATGTTAAACGTTTATTTTGTGACCCAGAAAGAATAATAAGAGTAATATTAAAACTAACTAGCTGCCGCCATTGTTAGAAACTGAGCTGGGCTGCGCTATGAATTCTGGGACACAGCTTCTTCTTCTTCGGGGTTTAACGGCAGCTGGCATCCTTGTACATGCAGTGCTGCCATCTTCTGTTTCAGTCCGTTATTACACTCTTAAATCCTACTACTTATTCCTGCGTCTTTTGTGATCTTACAAAGCTTCAAACGACGCGTCGACTATTAAATCAGTAATCGTCGACGTAATCGTGACTAGTCGACTAATCGTGGCAGCCCTAATCTCAGTGATAACGTCCAAGTTTTTTTCCCATAAACTGGAAGCTGTTCACCAGGGAACTGTTCCCAGTTTGTGCCACAAATCAAGCCAAGAACTCTTAACTTAAATGTAGATCTTTAATCAGAGTTTATGGATCAGAGCGGATAAAAATAACAGTGAAATGATTTTTGTACATAAAATAGATGTTTCTCCCAGTCTTTGGTTTTTACAAAAACGGGGCAACGTCAGCCCTGTAAAAAAATAATTTGTGTAAATCAGTATCACAATCATCTGCAGAAGTTTGCTGTGTGCACATACTAATGAATAATTATACCTATGAGTTGTTCCAGAAGGTCAGCTCTGCAGCCTGATTTCAAACTGAATGAAACAACTAAAGCAGATGCTTGTATTTGGCGCATTCGTTTGGATGAATCGGGATAGTTGCGATCGCAAATTAGGTAACACTAGACAAGACGGGGATCAGGTGCTGTGTGTAATTCTCTTATGCTCCTATATTCACAAAACATTAAATAAAGTGGAAGTAATGAAATTTTCATTCGAGGAAAGTTTCAGAGACTAAAGGTGAAGAAAAGCAACACAAAGCAAAACGACTTAAATCAAAAAAATACTCGAGGGTGAGAAAATAAGAAATTCTTTGCTGGAGATTAAACAAGAGAAGCCAGAAACGTGCCTCTGGTCGTGTACCTTCACTGGCCCCGGCCTTGAACTGACTAATGAAACAGTGTGTACGACGTTATCTGTCAATGGGGCTCGACAGCCATGAAAAGTCACATATCACATACAAAATAATACCAGTATCCCACACCTGAACCATTAATAAATCTGCAGGTGTGGAGACGTGGCTCCATCTCTCCACTTGTAGACCTTCTCTGTGATGACCGTGCGGCAGAGGGGGCAGCTCTTCTCCCGGTTGAACCACAGAGCGATGCATTCGTCACAGAATATGTGCTGCACAGCGGAGAAGTGAAAGCACATCAACACATTTTACACTCAAAAGGGCTACTGAACTTCTTCAAGTTTGTTTTAGCGCCTTCGTCACTCTTTACACCAGCTTTGTCCTGATTGGCTGCCCCTTGCAGACATTTTCCAACAGCAGGCGAGGCGCACTTCTATGCTCAAGACTTCATAAATAGACGGTTGTAGCTGTTGTAAAGTAAATAAATAAAGCCGATATGAAGGTACCCTAAATTTGCATTCCTCTAACGCAGGGGTGGGCAACTCCAGGCCTTGAGGGCCGGTGTCCTGCAGGTTTTAGATCTCACCCTGGGTCAGCACACCTGAATCACATGATTAGTTCATTACCAGGCCTCTGAAGAACTTCATGACATGTTGAGGAGGAAATTTAACCATTTAAATCAGCTACGTTGGATCAAGGACACGTCTAAAACCTGCAGGACACCGGCACTCGAGGCCTGGAGTTGCCCACCCCTGATCTAGAGGAAAATGCTCCCTTTCTTTTTTACCTCACTCGATGCTACTCTGGTGAGTTTATGCTCTCAGTCAGTCCCTTCAAATTTTATTGAATGATGAAAGTTTATTTTGTCAGGTGAAGATTAAAGTTAAACACTGAAACACCATGATGGATGCTCTTCACAGCAGTGAAATGTTTGCGTTTATCTTTTATATCAGGGGTGGGGAACTCCAGGCCTCGAGGGCCCTGCAGGTTTTAGACGTGTCCGTGATCCATCACAGCTGATTTAAACGGCTAAACGACCTCAACACGTCTTTAAGTTCTCCAGAGGCTGGTAATGAACTAATCATGTGATTCAAGTGTGTTGACCCAGGGTGAGATCTAAAACCTGCAGGACTCTGGCTGTATCCCAATTCAGGGTCTGCAGCCTTAAAGGCCGCATTTTAAGGCCGATTACGTCACAGCGAC